GGCTTTACAGAGTCAAAACACCGAGATGTTTTACATTTTCTATTGTTTTAATATTCCAGATATTTGACCAGCAGTTTCTTCTGTCATTCAGTCCATGTCGCCTCCTCCATACAGACTTCTTAGCATCTCTGTTCCACCTGCTCTGCTAAGTATAGACAAAAACAGCAGCAGTCTGGTTCTGATTCATTATGTCACATTATGGTGATAATGTTACCTTTACGTTTCACCTTCCCATTATTTTGAACTTCATGATGATCAGCTGCTCTGGACCTCCCGTAATTTACAAGTCATGAACTATTACAGTATAAATCACATTTTACTGATCAAAGCTCCCCATGAGAATATTATTTATTCAAAAATAAAAACTGAAAATGCTCTGTTCCAAATTATTATGCACAGCAGATTTTCTAAACATGTTTTGGATTATAAAGAACTGCAAACGGTCATTCTGTGAATGTGCAGCATTAATGGTCATATGTACTAAAATCAAAAGCTGTTTCAGTCAAAAACATCTTAACAGAGTCACATGTTAATATCGGACCTTCTTTGGTATCACCTGCACAATTCTTGATCCATTGAACTTGTGAGTTTGTGGAAAGTTTCTGCTTGAATTTCTTAGCAGGATGTCAGAAAATCTTCCCAGAGCTGCTGCTTGATGTGATCTGCATCCCACCCTCACATCTTCTGCTGGAGGAAACTCCAAGGTTCTCAATAGGGTCAGAGGTCAGAGGAGGATGGTGACACACCATGAGTTTATCCCTTTATCCCCATAGCAGCCAGAGACACAGTGTTAGTCCTTGCAGCATGAGATGTTTCATCGTTCTGCATGAAGATGGTTTTGCTGCTGAAGCTTCGGCTCTTTTTGGACCGAGACAGAAAGTGATCAGTCAGAAAGTGATCAGTCAGAAAGTGATCAGACCGTCCAGCACCGTCCACTACTGCGTCCATCTGGAGCATCCAGGGCAGCACAGCATTAATCAGTGAACAAGTCTGTTTGAAAATGAATCTTCATGTCTGGCTGGATCCACTGCCACCGTTTCTGCTAGTGAGCTGTTGAGGGGCTGTTGAAATAGAATTTTAAAGTAGCACAATAGTACATAAGTTAACTTTTAGGTTAAGATAAACTTAGATACAAATCCAAACTAAGACAACTGGTGATTCTCTGAACTTACATAAATTCCTAGTCAGAAAGCAGTCTTATACTCCTTAAGGAACATTTCAGACAGGGAGTGTATTGGCTATCAGGGCAATAAATTCTTTACTCAGGGTTGAATAGTTCAGACAAACATTAAAAAACTATAGAAGTCTGTCACAACATATAACCAAACATATTGATATTTCTTTAAGCATGTTTTGGATTAGTTACTTCTTAGATCCAAACTTATAGTCATTATTTAGCATTACATTTTGTGCAAGCTTGGTTAAAAACACCAACTGGTTTCTTGTTGAAGCATTTTGAGGCAGATAACGCTGCAGACTCACGCTATAAATCAGATCACCTAAAGGAGGCTGGTACGAGAAGAGCTGGGTGTTTCAGTGGGTCTCAGAGATAATGAAATTAACATTAAGACAAGCCCACACAAAGGAAAAAACACACCTCCTAATGCATATATTTAAATGAGGAGAATGCACATTCTATAAAATGGTTTTTTTTCACAGCAGAAGTTCGAATCTCTTTGTGCTGAGTGAGTTTCCCAGAGGATGCATCTTTTGTTAATCTTTTTGTCTTTTTACTCAGTTCTTTGTCTCTGTTTTGTCATGTCTTGGACTTTTGATAATCTAGGTGAGATGCTTATTGTAACATTCTTCTTGGATTGAATTTCTCTGGATAAAACTCTGAATATCTGAAGTCTGACATCGTATGATTGCTCTTTTCTCTCTGCACACGTACACAGACACAAGAACCTATTACAGAGAATTAATTAAAGAGCTAAATTGAGTTATTCCTCTTTTTTAATTCTTAACAGGGCCCAATAGTCGGTTAGGGTTTGGTCCAAGTTGCTGTTTGCGCTTTAAAACATGTTTTGTTTCATGATAATTAATTAGCTGATTGACTGAAGAAAAAAACTTTCTCCAGCTCAATGGTGTAAACTCAGGTTCTGTTCTGTGGTTCTATTTCTGCGTTTTGGTTCTGAACACAGAACCAGGAAGGTGTGTCTCAGTCTTGTATAGTAAAAATACTTTCCTCGAGTAAGAAAATGTTTGATAACTTTCACTATTACTTCACTACATTTCCGAACTTAATTTTATACTTTTACTCCGATACATTTTCAATGTGTGGTTTAGTTACTCGTTACAAAAAAACGCGAGAGAAACGCAAATGTTTTGATCAACCTACTGACCGACTGCAACAAAGCCTGTTAGCCTGGGCTTGTTCATCTCCACCAATAGGATGCACAGGTTTCTCCTCCCCACCACGTCATAAAGTCCAGCAAACAGTCTGATTGGTCAGTGCTCCGTTTGTGCCCTTAAAATGTTCGTTTGAGCAGTTTTGGTTTCCGAGATATTATAATGATTTTTTAGGTCATCCAGAGTCACCATCCCCCCATTTTGCTCCAAAACAAACCAAAGTGGGCTGGTTCATTAATGCTCCGTTTGTGCCGTTAAAACAAACGCAGCAAAGTTGTTTTCACTTTGGATTATGACTGTTCCAATATCCGGTGTGAGCGGCGTCTAACTCGAGGTCGATCCGATTCATGAACGCTAATTTGGGCCAGCCGGTCTCTGGTCTCCTTCCTCAAGGTGTCGGAGTTTCACTCAGGGAGAGTCAACAAATTTTACATCCAAACTCTCCTGAGAAACTAATGGAAATAGATTTCTTGCCTTGTGACCAACTGACACTAAATTCATGCTGTTACACGAGACACACTGTTCTCTAGTGAATTTTTAGTCATACTCAATATTTTCAGTAATTGTAATCTTACAAAGTAGATATTTTGGATGGCCTAAAAAATAATTTTTAATATCTCGGAAACCAAAGCTGCACAAACGGAGCACTAACCAATCAGACTATTTCCTGGATTATTTGAGTAGGTGTGTCAGCTTCATGGAGGTCTGTTTCTCTTCTCCCATTAAACACCAAGTTAACTAAAAGCTCTCCTCTTCAGATGTCAACAAGCTGCATTTCCCTCCCAATTCTTTTTCTTTTGCATAATGACCAGTTGTGTGCACCTATATTTTGTGAAGTAGAGGAATCGTAACGGCTTTTTTTTCTTCATGTTAGTCGCATTTTCTGTACTGACTATTTATTTTTCTCATTTTCAGCACTGACCTTACTGAAAGGGAAAACTTGAGGCTTATAGAAACTTTGTATTTTCTGTCCTGGAGGGTTTACTAAGAAGCTGGTTCAGTTGTAAAGCAGGTTAAGTTAATCTAAAGCAGGTTAAGTTAACCTAAAGCAGGTTAAGTTAACCTAAAGCAGGTTAAGTTAACCTGCACCTAATGTTCTTAACTAAATGATGCTGCAGGTTTATCTATTAGCAGGTTTCATTTTGCCTGCTCTTGGTTGTGTTCATTATTTTAAGTGTATTTAACAAGTTTACCAAAATATAAAATTATCATTCAAACTGCATTTGCCTTGTTTTACTTTTTACTTTTCATTATATTACTTGAGTTCATCCATTGTTACAGTAATTTTCATACTTAAGTACAAGACATTTCAGATACTTTAAGACTTTAACTCAAGTAACATTTCAGTGACTTTTACTTTTACCAAAGTCATATTTTGGAGAGAAACCTATACTTTTACTGGACTCTGAGATTTCAATACTTTATACAACACTGGTGTGTCTGAACACTCCATGATCTCAGGTCCAATACGCCCAGTCTTCATTTTTAGTTGAATTCAAATCAATTAAAGCAATGAATGAGACATTAACATTTATCAAACTTTTAACAATCATTTTTTCAAACAATTGAAGAAATGCAATCATTTGAATTTCTTTCTTAGACTGCAACCCACTTCATCTATTATTATAATTATTATTGTTATTATTATTATTATTATTATTATTATTATTATTATTATTATTGTTATTATTATTGTTATAGTCACAGTTCTGACTACAGATGTCTTTAGTTTGCCAATTGAGTGTTGATGTATCATCAGAATATTGATGATGTTGATACATAATAAAGTTTCCACAGAGGAAACTTTTGACTCTAAATGCTCTGGACCGGGTCTTCCTTTCAGGTTCTGCAGTAACTTCTATTTATAGCCACAAACCTCCAGCCCAGATCCGTCAGCAGCGGCTTTAACCCGGCTGGTCGTGACGCTAAGGAGAAGCAGAGTCAGCAGTCAGTCGGTGGTACCGTTGTCAGAATGTCTAATATAAAAATAGACATTCTTTTTTATCTGCCGGTGGGAACGACTCAGTCTGCCTGTAGAACCGGGCTTTTAGCAGAATGATTACAGTAGTCATTTTCTCTGCAGCCGAAACATTTCTGTGTTTAGGGTCAAGGAGGGTTTTTTTCTGCTATTGCAGGACAATTCCAAAAATATAAATAGAAACAGTTTTTCTAACTTCAACGTCAGACCTACGGTTTTATTGACAAACTAGTGTATGAACAAAATGTTCTTGCCCATTTTAGTTTAGGCACAGATCACCGGTCCATGTTGATCACCATGGACCTGGTGATCAACATGGAGGCAGAAACTGAGTCATTATTAGATGGAGGGCCAGACTAGTTTATTTGGCTAAATTAGTATATTTAGCTAAATATTATTGCTGAGGGGCACAAACAGGCCGTCTTCCATACAGACGAAAAAGAAAAAATTAAAAAACAAAACAAAAAAAACCCTCAAAGAGGGCACTAGGACATGGAGGATGAAAGGGGCTCAAGGCTCCTTCACCTCCTCACCGCACCGCACGTGCCTGTCCCACCAAAGCGAGGAGCTGTTCCCACTGGCAGCGCTGGCAGCGCTGGCCAATCACAGCTCCTTCCACATGATCATGTCGGAAGCTGAGCGAATCACAGGGCGTGAGGCGGTGTGAAGCTGTGTGCGAGTCGCGGTGCGTCCTGGTGTTCCTCTCAGACGGTGCAAGTTTCCCCGCGGAGTGAAAACATCTCGTTGTTGTCTCATGGATTTCTGGACGGTTCTGCTTCTCTGTGAGTTTTTTGGTTCTTATTTCTGTGTCTGTCGGTTCGGTTCGAAGTTCATCCGCATCTTTTCTCCACTTTAGGATATTGTTGTTTTTAAAGCTATTGTTACGGCCCGGCTCAGAAAGCCGCAACAAAATTAGGGGACACGGCAACCAGTGATGTTAAGCCCAGGAAAGGCATTTATTTTTAAAAGAATAAACTTGTCTAGGAGACATCAGTCCAGGCCCCTTCAGCCTGGATCTCCGAGTCGTCTGCGCGTGGTGGCTTCTGCAGTCACACCCATGAATGGAACGGCGCTCCTTATATACCTGTTGCATGTTTCAGATGCAGCTGCTTAAAACCAGATAACTTTGCTCTCCATTGTTCTCACATCGTCTGATTTGGCCAAAACTGTTAGAGCAAGAGACAAAATGTTTCAGATTGAAATCTACAGAAATGATTTTTCTAACAGTGGTGATCCGATCCGATCCAATCGGATCGGATGAGAGTTAAATCCAGGACCTCTGAAGAACTTTGAAATAAAAATTTCTCACATAAAATCCTTTTTATTTTAGTCTTTTTGTGTTTCTGCCTGTTTGTCTGATTAATGGAGAAACATTTACTGGAGTAAGTTTTTCAAAACAAAAAAGTACTTTTAGGAGTATTTTTACTATGGTGTACTTTTTACTTTTACTTGAGTAATTTTACCCTGAATTGTCCGTAAAATGTGTGGATTTTCAAAACAAACCTGTTTTAACCAAACTCAGATCTGCAGCTTCTGTTTAAGTTTCATCAGTTTTTCATTAAAACTCATTTGGAAAAATATTCTTTTGCCAGATTTTACTTTTCATCACTTATGTGAATTGTTATAATTTTTGTCCATAAATTATCAAAATTTCCCCTTAACTTTATATTTTCTCAACCTGATGATGTAAATATGAAATGATTGATAAATTGATCAGTTTCTTGAGGAAACATTTCACCAAACGCGTTTTCATTCTTGACTCCATTTCAACTTTCTGTTGAAGTCGAGCTAGTCTTAGTGCAGTTACACTTTGGGTTCTTTACCCTCCTGTGGCTGAGGCGGAAACAGACGGACCGGTTCTGTGAACTGAGTGGGTTCTGTGGATCCGTTCCCTGGGATTAACATATTACTGTTTAGATTCCCTGAAAGCTGATCCTGATCACCCTGTTTCAATTAGAACCTAATGGAGAACCAGGTTTTAACTCTGTGATCTATTTATGTTTCAGTCGCTGCAGCAGCAGCACCAGCAGCAGCAGAAGCTGCAGCAGCAGCACCAGCAGCACCAGCAGCAGCACCAGAAGCTGCAGCAGCAGCACCAGCAGCAGCAGAAGCTGCAGCAGCAGCACCAGCAGCAGCAGAAGCTGCAGCAGTAAATCTGACCAGGAAGGTCGGTGACAACGTGACGCTCAGCCTGGAACACAAACCGCTGAAACCTGGGGACACGGTGATCTGGTCCAATGGTCCAGAGACGGGGGAGGAAAATGTTCTCTTCTACATCTTCGACATCGGGAATCATGACGGACCGACCCAAAAGGACCGGTTTGATCTGGATCTGACCACCGGCGCTCTGACCATTAAACGTCTCTCAGCTACAGATTCGGCAGTTTATTATGGACAGATCATCAATGGCAACGGGACCAAACGATTCTTCAAGCTGACGGTGGAGGGTAAGTGTCTCAGCTGGATCAGTACATACTGGTCCTAGTGGTGCTTTGACTAGGCCAGTCCTTCCACTGCCTCCCTGTAGCTCAGATAGACTTTAAAATATTTATAAATCACTGAACGGCTTAAAGATCTGCTGCTGTTGGAACAACCTTCAGGTCTTCTGGTTCTGGTTCTGCTCGGCATCAGAACCAGAACCAGGCATGGAGAAGCAGCATTCAGTTTTTATGCTCCTCTAATCTGGATGAAACTTCCAGAAAGAGCTGAAACAATGACCATCACTCAGGTCAACAGATGATGACCTTCATCTCTCACTAACAGGAAAAACGTCTGAAGCTAAAATGACAAACGGAGAAATAAACTAAATCTACTTGTTGGTCCCAGTTAAAGCAGCCGGGATCAAACCTTAGATTCTCTCATAGAAAAGTTTTATGGTCATTTAAACCTCCATGCAAAATGCTGAAAACATTTAAAACGTTTCAGGATTTTAACTCCTGAACTTTATTGATATTATTTAGCTTGTAGATTAACAATCTCTTAAATTTATTCATGATACAAACTGAACATTTTATTAATAGTATAAATGGAAACTTATTATAAAACCTGCTGCTGTTGTTTCACAGGGCCTGATCCCATCCAACCAACTGATGAACCTCAACAACATCCAAACACCAGGATCATTATCAGCGCCGTTGTTGCTGTTGTTGTTCTCATCTTTCTCTTCATTGCTTTTGTAGTGAAGAAGAAAAAACCATGTGAGTCCTTTTATAAGGTGTTTTATTTTATCATATTAATATTGTTTTATTGTTTCTATTTCACTGCATTTGGACAAATGAAACTGATCCAGTTAAACTGAACAACATGATCCATCACTGAGCAAAAATCACTGCGCTAAGCAGCGTTAGCGTGTTAGCATGTTAGCATGAAGCCTGGTGATTAAAGTGACAGGAGTTTAAACTGATCTGAGTTTGAGCTACAGAACAAACTGAACTCCTGATCCAGTCAAGTTATTTAACATTTCACATTATGTGTCCATTTATGTAAGGCCAAAATAAAAGCTTTAAGTATTTAAATGTTATGGTGAAAAATCCTTGATGTTTGGATCCTCATCCAGGGATCACGTTTGGATCTAAGCAACTTAATTTAATTATTATGATGGGAAAAATACCTGAAATGCTTTTATTGCATGAACACAGAATAAACCGATGTCGCCTGAACTCATCATCATTTGTTCTCCCTCATCCTAAATCTGGAAACAGATGATTATTTTATCCCAGTGCAACATTTCATTAGATCAGGAGAATCTGTTTAAACTCATCATTCACTCATCAATATTCCAAGTGATTCATTCATTCACTAACATCATGGTTACATATTAAGGTTTTGTTTCCTGACCGATGTCTTTCTCTGTCTCTCCATAGGCAGAAAGTCTTCAGTCGTCTGATTCCCAACATTCAACCTTCTCTCCATTCCTCACCGACGGGCCTCAGCTGATCCAACAGAACCTCCAGAACTCTTTTCAGTCCATTTGTTTCTTGTTCAGAGTCTGGGCTGATCGTGGTGCTCCTTTCCTCTCAGGGAGAATCATCGTTTTATGAACTGTTGAACTGCCCAGTTCAACAGTTCAAACGCCAAATACATCTGAATGTGCGTTGATGCAGTCAGTGGGAACTGTCCCAATGCTACAGCTGAAGCTTTGGGGTTCAGCCAATCAGCACCAAGGAAAACAAATGCTGCTCCATCATTTGCTGCTTTGCAAACATTAGCCAGTACAGTGTGATAGTGTCTTATGCAGCTTTGCATGTATTTCAGCTTCCCAGATGCATTATCATTAGAATATTTTAGATCAACTCTACAAAGAGTCACATTTCACAGAAAACACTGAATCCTTCGATTTCACAGTAAAAGCATTCAGTTAGCATTAGCATGGCGCTAAATTACCTAAAATCTTTTGTTGTTTGACGTTAAGAAGCATTTTTTATCTCAGGATCTCAAAAGAACTCAACAAGGGCAAACAGGGTGTTAGAAAGATTAAAAGAGCAAACAGCTGATGGCAGATTATTTCTTAAAAAACGTTGACTTATGATTCAGATTTTAGTCAGTATGTTTGTTTTGTCTGACATGTTCAATACAGTCACTGAATTGGCAACAGGGGGGTCACTATAGTTCACTGTAAGCATGGCCTGTCAGTCTGACCTCTCTTTCTCACAGGAGAGGTTGACCTTTAGACCTTTGCTGATCGGCTTCACATGTAGAAATCAATCGATCACAGATCTCCCAAAATTCAGAAAATTGTCACCAATAAATCGCCTGGCCGATAAATCGGTGCACCTGGAGGGAAACAAACATCTTAATGCCGTCTCTAAAACAACCAGTATGTTGTCATACGCACTTATTAATGTTTGAGGTTAAATTATTTTATTTAGAAACAAAAGTCTAATTTATTTGAAATGAACTTGATATGTGCACATGTGTTTCCTGGATGAAAAGCTGCAAAAATGAATTGCATATAAAATGTGTGTGCAGGTGAGTGTAAACTGAAGTTTATTTATTGAGCCTTAGTGTCAGTTTGAACCAGTGATGTTAAAGTTTGAGTTGCTTTCACTCATTTTTATTGAAAGTTTTGTTTCAGAATCATTGTTTCTATTTATTCCAGTGGTCAGTGGAAATATTTCATTTCTGATCATCAGGCACAAAATAATAATCTTGTTAAAAGAATTTAAGCTTGTTTATGGGACATGATCTTCCCATAAACAAGTGGATCAGGAGTTTGTTGAATGAATCAATCAATGATGTAACTTTAAGGTGAAATAAAAAGATAAATTGTGTCTGGGGAATTGCTCTTTCATCTGAAACTGTTTTATTTTTCTGTTTATTTATTGTTTTAAGCTCAAATACCAAGTTTTAATCTTCACAGATGTTTCTCTAACAGTCTGGTTGTGAATTATGGACACTGAACCATAATTCAGTGTCCATGGTAATCATAACTTTCCATCATGGTGTTTTCTGCCTCTGTCTGAACTGGTTCAGTTTCCGACTGGTTTCTGAGTGTTGCGTCCATCGGCGCTGATGGTTGCAGGCGTTTGATGTTTGCCCTGGAGCTCCGCCCCTTTCAGGTGTTGCTGGTCCGTTGATTTGGAACGCAGAGTATTTAAACCTGGCCGTCTCCATCTTCTGGGTCGCCTTGCTCCACTCTGCCGCCTGTCGGCCTCAGCTTCCCTCCTTTTGCACATTTGAGTTTGTCTTTGTTTTTGCACCTGGGGACTCCTGGGGGCTGCTGGGGCTGCTGGGGACTCCTGGGGTTGCTGGAGGCTGCTGGGGGCTCCTGGGGGCTGCTGGGGACTCCTGGGGGTTGCTGGAGGCTGCTGGGGACTCCTGGGGGTTGCTGGGGACTCCTGGGGTTGCTGGGGGCTCCTGGGGGCTGCTGGGGACTCCTGGGGGTTGCTGGGGGCTGCTGGGGACTCCTGGGGCTGCTGGGGCTCCTGGGGGCTGCTGGGGACTCCTGGGGGTTGCTGGGGGCTGCTGGGGACTCCTGGGGTTGCTGGGGGCTGCTGGGGACTCCTGGGGGCTGCTGGGGACTCCTGGGGGTTGCTGGGGACTCCTGGGGGCTGCTGGGGACTCCTGGGGGTTGCTGGGGGCCGCTGGGGACTCCTGGGGGCTGCTGGGGACTCCTGGGGGTTGCTGGGGACTCCTGGGGGCTGCTGGGGACTCCTGGGGGTTGCTGGGGGCTGCTGGGGACTCCTGGGGGCTGCTGGGGACTCCTGGGGGCTGCTGGGGACTCCTGGGGGCTGCTGGGGACTCCTGGGTTGCTGGGGCCGCTGGGGACTCCTGGGGGCTGCTGGGACTCCTGGGGGTTGCTGGGGACTCCTGGGGCTGCTGGGGACTCCTGGGGGTTGCTGGGGGCTGCTGGGGACTCCTGGGGGCCGCTGGGGACTCCTGGGGGCTGCTGGGGACTCCTGGGGGCTGCTGGGGACTCCTGGGGGTTGCTGGGGGCTGCTGGGGACTCCTGGGGGCTGCTGGGGACTCCTGGGGGTTGCTGGGGGCTGCTGGGGACTCCTGGGGCTGCTGGGGACTCCTGGGGGTTGCTGGGGGCTGCTGGGGACTCCTGGGGGCTGCTGGGGACTCCTGGGGGTTGCTGGAGGCTGCTGGGTTGCTGGGGACTCCTGGGGGTTGCTGGGGGCTGCTGGGGACTCCTGGGGGCTGCTGGGGGCTGCTGGGGACTCCTGGGGGCTGCTGGGGACTCCTGGGGGTTGCTGGGGACTCCTGGGGGCTGCTGGGGACTCCTGGGGGTTGCTGGGGCTGCTGGGGACTCCTGGGGGCTGCTGGGGCTCCTGGGGGTTGCTGGGGACTCCTGGGGGCTGCTGGGGACTCCTGGGGCTGCTGGGGACTCCTGGGGGTTGCTGGGGGCTCCTGGGGGCTCCTGGGGCTGCTGGGGGCTCCTGGGGTTGCTGGGGGCTGCTGGGGACTCCTGGGGCTGCTGGGGACTCCTGGGGGTTGCTGGAGGCTGCTGGGGGCTGCTGGGACTCCTGGGGGTTGCTGGGGACTCCTGGGGGCTCCTGGGGGCTGCTGGGGACTCCTGGGGGCTGCTGGGGGCTCCTGGGGGCTGCTGGGGGCTCCTGGGGGCTGCTGGGGGCCGATCCGTCATGCAGACAGAGAGAGAGAGAGCGGTGGATGGTTGAATTTCCTCTGCTGCAGCTGCTGGTTTGGTGAAGGTCTATTGGAGTTGAACCTCCATTTGGTGTTCCTCAGGGCTCAGTGCTGGAGACGCTTCTGTTTATTATACATATACATTTGTTTCATTTAAATGAGCCTAATGCAAAATATAATTTTTGTGCTGATGTTACTGCTTTATATCATTCTGGTCTTTCCTAGTTGTGCTTTTATTCAAGTAACTTTTAATGTTTTACAGAAAATTTCCCCTTCAGCTTAATGCAGTTAAATTAAAGATCTGAAAACTGAAACACTGAGGCAATTCAAATATTTATAATTTTGAACTTTTTGTCAGCTGGTGAAGAAGGTGACATAAAAACTAGGATTATTTATTTCAGGATCAGATCCTGTCTATTTTTGACCATCCCGACCTCTGACCCCCCTCACAGCAGGGAACTCTGGGTAATTGCTGTTGTGATTGTATCGATGGGTTGGTCCAATGGTTTTCCTCTTGGATCCGCTTCCTTTGAGGATGTCTCCAATGTCTGTAATCAGAACTGTGACGATATTAATAGTAATAATGGAGGAACCGGGTTCCGGTCTCAGAATAATTGACTGAATCTTCTGTGAGGAAATCTGCTTTAGTTACGCAGTGAAGACATATTTCAGTTGGTATCATAAACATTTAGTCTTTTATCATATAAATATTAACATTCAGTTTTGATTATTGTTATTCAACAGTTTCAGTAGATCTCAACTCAGCTGAAAATACAGATATTTGCTTTTAAGTTTAACAACATTTCAGGATTGATCTCCGTTTGTTTTAATATTCTGATCATAATCTTTGCTGTGCATAATGCAGAGCCGTTTATCTTCACAGAAGATAAACAGAGACCACAGTTGATCTCAGCGGCAGTTTGTGACCAAAGCCAACAGGAAACGGATCCACAGATCAGCTCGGCGCTTCGGGTCGGAGCCAGCTGACGGATCCTTTCTGAAGAACTTCCACCGGTTCCTCCAGTCGGCTCTGATCCTTCTTTCCCATAAATGTTGATCCAGGATTTATTAGCTGATATTAGAAGCAGTAGAAGAATAAGTCAGTCAAGATTTGTTCTAAAGCACATTTTCACAAACAGCAGTCAGAAAATTCTTCGAAGGAAACATAAAAACATCCGTTTTAATAAGTTTTTATTTTCATAAACTTGCACCAGAAAAGCGTATTTTTAATCCACTTCCAAGCTCTTTTAACACAATCCATCATTTCATTTTATTGTTATTCATCGAGAAAATGAACTTTTAAATGTAGCATCTTGAATTTCTTCTAACTCCATCGTCTGGTGGAGTTACAAGATCCTGTGATCCTGTTTTTAATGCTGCATGATTTAGTGGTAACTCTTGGTTTCATTTTAATACATTTATCTCTTAACTGTTTCAGATCACCAAACCAAATGTAAAATCAGACGTGAGTAAATGAAACACTGATTTATCAATGGAAAGCTGGTCGCCCCCTGCTGGTCCAGTGGTGAACAGCACCTCAGGGCTGCTGAGGTTTCTTTCATGCTGCGCAGTGATTCAGACTCGTGTTTTATTTGCACTGGTCCCTGCAGGATGTGAGGATCCTCGGTGTGAATCATCTCCAGGTTCTGATCCGTCCTGTTTGATCAGAGTTTGATCCTGATGGGACTGACGGGTTTCATCACACAGACGGTTCTGCTGTCGCTTTCTGGATGATTTGTGGAGCTTCTTTGTTCTGCCTGCAGGCACATGGATCTGAATAGTCCTGCCTATTCCAGACAGGATTATCTGGAATAAATATTCCTATCTGGAATATCGATCAGAAATTTAGGACCTAATTTCAGGTCCTAATTGACCCAGACATGGAACCAGATGATTCAGGTTTATGTTCTTCAGATCAACATCAGATTCTTTTTCTTTGGTTTGTTATAATTTGCTTGTATTTCCTTTTAATTCCCGTGAAGCACTTTGAATTTCCTTGTTGCTGAAAATGTGCTACATAAATAACATTTCCTTTACTCTGATGAACAGAGCTCGTCTTTCCCAGTAAACCTGTCAGATGGTTTATGATCAGTGAGTTTCGCCTTGAAATGTTTGGATCCAGGTTTCAGGTTCTGATCCGGTCCACACATCTGGATAAAACCATGTTGGTGTTTGGTTCCTGTGATGCCTCATCTTATTCTTGGACCTGGAGTCTCATCGTCTCCCATGGAGCCTCTGAGCGTTCGGATCAGGAAGGGTACCACTGTTGCCATGCGACTAAAGGTCTCTGAAGGTTCTGGTCGATGCTGCATCGACTGTGGACTTCAGAACCCAGTGGACCAGACCAGCAGATGCCATGGCGACCCAGATCATCTGACTGGAAACTTCAGCCGGGATGATCCTCTCCTCACCTTCAAAATAAAATAAAGTTTTTATTTTTACAAATAAAAACTTTATTTTATGAAAAGGAAACTTTGAATCACTAAACAACTCACTCCCCTTTTTTTTTTGGGAGATTTTTCTTCCACTCAACTTTCCGGTATTGGTATTCTTGGGCTCAGCTCTCTGGGAACCGGTTCTGATGTTGCGTTACTTTTCAGACGTTTTGGATTTTCATCAGCTGAAAAACGTAATGATGACAGTTAAAGCTGAAACGGATCCATGTGCAGAAAACTGTTTGATTTCCACTTTGAAGCTGTTGAAGTTCAGCTGTTCAGAAACAAACAGTTTAAATCTGGAAAAGTGCAGCAGCGCCATCCAGTGGCGCTCTCTGGGCACTGCATGGCCCCTGATGAAGGACCAGATATTAGTAACGAGTGAAAAATACGGAAGGAATTTTCCAATAAATAAAAGTTTCATAAGCAAACTAAATGAATGTAAATATTTACTAAAGCTGAACTCAGAGTCCCGATTATTCTAAAATGTCAGAGATGAATATCTGTTCTGCAGATATGTTGTGTTTTTATTTCCTGTGATTCATTTAAACTTTTTGCCTGTTTTGGATCTTTTTCCCTGATTGACGTTTTCGCGCCAGAAAGAGCGCTAAGCCCCGCCCACACACAGACGTCAGCAGTTCTAACAAGCTTCTTTGATCTCTGTGACGTGTGAAGCGACGTCACACAGACGGCAGCTGCTTCAGTTCATCTGTTCTCTTCAGTTCTTTCACTGAGTCGATCTGAACACAGAGAAGTGATTTTACTGAGCAGAACCAGCCATGAGTTTCCGTCCAGCGCAGAACCAGGCGTTTCCACGCAGAGCGTGAAACCCGCCGTCGACTGCTTCTTCAGCGACCTCTCCCCAGAGCAATGGATGAGTTTGGCTGCAGGATCCCCAGATCAGAGCACCAACTGGAAGCTGGCTCGGCTCCTGGGGGACACCATGGAGCTCTTCGTGGCGTCCATCCTGGAGAAACTGCAGCGTGAGAAACTGACGTGTGAGATGGTGGAAGACGTTGTAGGCAACATCGTCACTGAAGCTTTCACACAAAGTATGAAGGTCAAACAAGAGGTCCGAACCGACAGCACTGATGATTTAAACAGGTTAATTGTTGAATATGTGACGGAGAGGGTCAAATCAAAGTTCCCTCCGACGACGAGGATTCTGCAGAGAATTACATACAGAAGATAAGTGACATGTACAGAAAGGATGCGGTGGTTCGAAAAGCCATTGTTGTGATACGAGAACTCTTTTCATTGATGTGCAAATCTCTGCCCAGAAGCAAGAGGATTCCACTCTTTCAGATAGTGGACAAACACCGGGTCAAGTCCGCCAGGACGGTGTCCCTGAAGAGCTGTCCAGGAAGCCAGGCCGACTGCGGGAAACCCGACTCCGCTGCTCAGCCTGAGGCGCCTTCAGAAGGCAGCGAAGAACTCAGGAACCAGAGCCAAACGTCTTCCCCAGCACCAACGTCAGAGGTCTGAAACGGAAGATCAAAAAGTTTTTCACTAAATGTTTTCACAGACGTTCCTCTACGGTTACACCATCGAGTGTAGCAGAAAGCCCAGAGGAGAAGAGCTCTGCTCACACCCCTCTGGGAGAACAGTTTACTCCTGCAGACAATCCTCCGACGTCTCACCGACAGACAAATCCTCTTCTGTGGACAAGGAGGAAAACATCCCTTATTTGGAGAAAAGTTCATTTGAGGGCGAAGTTTCAGAGGTAACGTCTGTACGAGAATTTATATCCGATGATCAGTCAGCCAAAGCTACTGAGGTAGAAAACTTACAGCCTCAGTCGGACGGCTACTTGAACAAGGTTTATCCGTCTGTTGAGTCCGTCATGCCTGGAACTCTGTTATATGTTCCGTCATCTGAGGAATGCAGCAGCTGGCTGCAGACTTAGAAGAGGAAGGAGCAAAGACTGTAGTGAACATCATGGTGCACGAGCTGATTTCTCAGCTCCTCAGAGCCTCCAAAGAGCACATCAACGTCTCTCTTCTGAACACTGGGGCCACGCACAGACGGCTCGTAGGCAAAATCTGGGCTGAAGTTCAGAAGGAAGAAGTTCAAATAGACACAGAAAGAGCCTTAAAACTTACAAGAATCTACAGCAGCATCTGTAAAGCATTGAAGTGTCCCCATGAACTCAGAGCCCTGCTGCTTTTCGAAACGGCAACATTTGACAGCGCAGTCGTCTCCTGTTTCATGAAACATATTTTAAGTTCTGTGGAGAAACCGTTCCTCACTAGGTTTTTCTCAGCTGTGGGTGAAACCATATCCAAACTCTTCAGGCAGAGGAGGACAGAATGTGAGGAGTTCATCCCGTCTGGAGACAGCAGCAGGGGAAACAACGCTGCAGAAGACGACGTATGGTCCGACTCTGAGCACGACTCTGATTCATCAGTGTGGAACCCCGGGACGCTGACTGGTGGCCGACTGCCCCAATGGCTCCAATGGCCCCCATGGCTCCAAAGGCCCCAATGACCCCAATGCCCCCAATGGCCCCAACAACCCAAATGCCCCCAACGGCTCCAATGGCCCCACCGGCCCTGACGGTTCC